AGTGAGGCTGAAATGATCAGTTCACCACCAGACAAGGACTGTTTGTGCAGCCAGCACTGGAATGCTGGAAGGTGATAATCAGCCCTGGAAATGAGAGGGAAATAGTCCCAAACTCCCCTTGGCAGTTCCCTGCAAGTGCCTGGATAAACCTTAATGAAATTAAAGCCTGGGTGTCAGTGTAATTGCACTGATCACAAAACCCTGTGTATTCATCAGCCCTGTCCAGGCTCTGGCAGAAGAATGCAGCCATTATCTGCAGCTGCCTGAGCAACACTGGCACTCTGTAATTTGGGCCTCAAAACACAGAGCAGGAATGGAATTCCTCCAGTTTTCCCAGAGAACCAGTTGAACACAGCAGCCTTATCCCAGCTATAAAGAATTCTACATAGCATGCAAGTTAAGTAGCAAAAACATACCTGGCATTTCTCACAGGGAGAGATTTACTTGCATCAAGCTGAACTCACAGTCAAGTGACCAAATTTAGGCACACAAATATCAGGCAGCATCCTGAGAACAGGAGGCCTGGGTACATTCCCTCCAACACTCTCCTAGCTCATCATATTTCAACTGAAAGCCATTTATAGGAGACTTTCATGTTATTCTGAGCATGTTCTGCCTGAAGGACCTGTACAAGGACAACCCCACAATTCCTGCTGAACCTGCTCCTGGATTTACCAAAAAATGCTTTGCCTAATGCTCTCCTTTCCCACAGCTCTCTGCTGGCAGCACTTACTCCAGGATGATGTTGTTGATGTCCTGAGTGAAGAATCTCTGCTTGCCTTCCCCCTCAGCAGCCCTGGCAGCCTGAAAGTCAGGAAATTTGAGTTACAAATCATCAGCACTTCACAGCTGGCACAAGTAACCAGGTGTCTTCAAAACCACCCCAGAACTACTGCAAGACAAGGCACAGCCTTATTACACAAACTCTGTCATAGCTAAAGCAAAGTAAAAATTTTCCAAAGTATAAATCCATTTTGATTTAGGTGAAATGTACATTTTTGAGTTGAGTCTGTAGTTAGAAAACTTAGCTATTTAGCCTGACTGCAAAAAGCCTAAGCTCAGAGAAACTGCTTCAATGAAAGACAGAGATAAAAGGAGAGACAGAAAGTGATAGAAATATACAGAGAAACTGCTGTGAGAGCAAGTCAACCTGACCTAAGAATTCTTTCTGTTAAAAAATAACTAGCAGCAAATGTCACGTGAAATTCATAAAAATGAATATGCATGAACCTATTGTGAATTTGTATACATATGTATCTGAAAAAAAGATAAAAAAACCCCTGAAGTTCCCAGAAGTACACATGTCATTTTAAAAAAACAATTCCCACATGCATCCAGTGCTGTAATAAACATACCAGCTTTACAACTTTCACAAAAGTTGTAGGGTTTTGATAATCTCTGCAAAACACAGCAGAAGTGTGAACCTCCCCAGCTCAGGTCCCTGCCTGACCTGGTAACACCTGGTGACCTTCCCAGCCTGGATTCTCCTCTCCAGACTGGAATCACCACTCTGGAGTGTTTCCTAGGACAAAGGAGGTGATTTCTCCGGCAAGCTTGCCATGGGGACAGCAACAGCTTCAAGCATGGTTTTAACTTCTGAGTATATTGAGGAATATGAGCTCAGAGCTTGTCCCTGGACCAGGGAAGCTCAGACTAATCACATCTAAGGAAGGTTGAGGAGACTTATCACCAGGTTTTCTAGATCCATCTGGAAACCAAGCCAAGACATGAAGAGAGAAGAGTCACAGCCACAGGGGATGTGTTACTCCCAGTCAACACCATGGAAACAAAAAAAAAAAAGTCCAGTTCAGGAAGCTTCCAGAGCTATGAATGCAGCTCACAAAGAGCTGCCCAAAAACATCACACCCATGAAAAATATGTCCAGCAGGAAAATAATTCCAAGAGATGAATGAGGTAGTAGCAAATTGCCAAGAGCTTTCAGCTTTTTCTGAGTGGGGATATAAACAAAACTGGGATTTGGCACGAGGCAGCACCATGAGTTAGTGATTCCTTGCACAGGGAAGCAGACCAGGAGAGGATTTTGAAATCCCATGATTTACCACTCCAAAGTTGAGGCAGGCAAGCAATTAATTGATGCCCAGAGGGTGAAGATTCCTCCCTGCCAGCAGCAGGTGATGTCAAAGGAGGAGACTCAATGCTAAGGAGAATCCTCAACAGGAAGATTACCCAGGAAGGAGAGGGTTAAAGTCAAAGCAGTTCAAGGAGAAAGGAAATGCCTGGAGGCTCCATTTAGCTCAGGAGATGCTCCCACCTCTGGGACAGAGATCTGGCTCTCAGGCAGAGGTCCAGCACCTCCTCAGTGCCACCTGAGCTCATGTCCCACAGCCCTGACCCACAGTTTCAGTTTCTTTCTTTCCTTAACATCCACAATCCAGCAACAACAGACACAGCAGCAGGAAAATCTAAGCAGAGAAATCAGTGGGGACTCTGCTATTAAACTGTTTCACAACACCACAACAATTAACCTGACACCATGGCACTTCCAAAATATTCTCCTTTAACTCAGACAGAGTCACAAACAGCTGTTTTGGTGCTTTCTGAAACACAAACATCCACCAAGAGCTTTTATCAGCTGTGGCAATACTGCTTCAGCTCCTCCTCCCCTCCCATCTGCTCACCCCCAGTGCACAACTCAGCAGAACAGTTCTCTGAGAGCAGCTTATCTTCAGTGGCAGCAATTACTCAGCATCCCTCACTTCAGGAAGAGGTGCCCTGCACTGAAGTGCCCCAGGAGGCAGAACCACCACAGAGCTCCAAGGGCATGTTTAGGACCTAAAATCAATGTTTAAAACCACCCCAGCAGCAGGAACACAACCCCTCAGCACTTGCTGACAGGCTGATGGTGACAGCCCTCACACCACAAGGCTGAGAGCACACTGTGACAGGCCAGGAGGGGATCCCTGACCAGCACCCAGTGGTTTCCTTCTCCAAAACAGACTGGAGCTTCCCAAAGCACACCACACTATGGAGAAGATGGGTGAGTCCCCCAGGAGCCCTGGTGAAAAGACAGAAGATCATCCTTCTAGACATCAATATATTCCACTCCTTTGCTGGAACCCTGGTCACTGAGAATTTCAGACTTTCTGTGCTGCCAGGCACTGACCCCCAGAGAACACTGCACTGACCTGAGGCTGTGGAGAAGCTTCCAGAATGGAATGGCAGAACTGGGATTGTGGCTGTGGAGTTTGAACAGAAGTGTGTGATATGTGGTGAAAAACTCAGAGTTTAATGTTTTAGAATATAGTAATATATATAAAGCAAGATGGAGGTTTTGGGCAGAGGCTGCTCCCTCTTCACCTTCTTCTCCATGGGTTTGGGTGGTTTTGTGTAATTGGATAAAAAGTCCACATTGCAGCCATGAGTGGTTGGTTATTGGGTTAAAAGTTAAAATAATTTAGGTGTCATTTCTAAATTGGACAGTTCAGCCTTAAAAGGCCTTGCAGAGAGAGATACATATCCATTTTCTGCCTTGTTAGAGCAAAGCACTGTAGAACTCAGCTTGTGAGACTGTGACATAGATAAGAACTAAAAAACATCTGAGTCTGTCAAGAAACACTGTCTGGTGATTTAATCCTGGCCCTGGCAGAAAAGAAGCAAAGAATCCATTCCTCCCTAAATGGGATCCCAACAACCAGATGTCAAACATGGCTGAAGGACTCAAATTGCCAAACTGGTGCAGCTCCAGTGGTACCCAGGCTTCAACAAAGGCTCTGCCTGTGACATGGAAATGGCTCTAGCAAATCCTCAAGCCCCATCTACAGGGCTTTCCAGGCCTTCTCCCAGTGCACAACTGTGCCAGTGCCTTCCAGCTGCACCCTCTTATTTCACACACACAGCACTGTGCACCCCTTCAGTGTCCTGACCAGCACAGCACATTGAAAGCATTATGGTGGAATTTGTCCTTGTCATGGTTTAACCCCAGCCTGCAACTCAGCCCCTCACAGCTGCTGCTCCCTCACCCAGGCGGGATGGGGCAGGAAATCACAGAGAAAAAAAGTGAGAAAATCCAAGGAATGAGACAAGGCAGTGTAACAGGGAAAGCAAAAGCCAAGCAAGCAAAGCTAACAAGGAATTATTTCCCCACTCCCCAAGGACAGGCAGGTGTTGAGCCATCCCCAGGACAGCAGGGCTCCATCCATCACATGTATCATGTGGGAAAAATGCCATCACTCCAAACATCCCCCTCTTCCTTTTCCCCCAGTTTTACCTGCTGAGCATGACCCCCCTGTCTGGGATGTCCCTGTTGGGATCCCTGTCCTGGCTGTCCCCTGCCAGCTCCTCCTGCCCCTCACTGGCAGCCTGGGGTGGGAGCACCAGGCCTTGGCACTGGGTGAGCACTCCCTGCTCAACAACAAAACATCCCTGGGATATCAGCTCTCTGTACAGCACAGTTCAAATCTGCCCCAAAACAGCCACTCTGGAGAAAATGACCTCAATCCCAGCTCAAACCAGCCCCCCAGGCTCAGTAATTCACATTTCAGTCCATTCATGTCAAACTGACTTTGGAAATTACTGCTTCCATCAAGTCCATGCTTTTCTAAGAGGGGTTAAGAAGGAATCCTGGTCAGGTGTGATCTCAAGTGTCACATTCAGTACCTGACAAGATCCAGCACTTGGACATCACTTGACAACAATAAAATCACTTGGAGGAAACTGAGTGGCAGTGTGATCCCAGTGGATCTGAGAAACTCCCACTG